AAACCTTCTGCTTACCACATATATTATCCGTCCGCTTTTAACATTTAAGCAACATAAAGAACTGACCGTAACATTAGAGTTGATTATTTCTTACATTTAAAAAAAAAGAAATTCTAATTAAATTATTTTTTACTATATCATTCAAGCAAAAAAAAAAAATATTGGAATTTCAAAAATCCAAGTAAAAAAAAGTAACATTTAATACCAATTCACTATATTATAATATATTCAGATTAAAATATAAAAAAAATATAAAAGCAAATAAAAAATATATATTAAGCAAAAATTATTTTTAATAGACATACCATACCTTTCAAGAGTTTTTATTAAAACCTTTCAAACTTTTAATTTAAATGATAAGCTTTATCATATCTTTTCTTTTACTAGTGAAAAACTTTTTTGTTAATACAAAGCTGAAATTTATTCAAGGATATTATTTGTTCAATAATACTTTATTTTTTTTAAAAAAAAAGGTTTATATTTATTTTAATACAAAAAAAAAAAATATTTTGAAAGAATTATAAGGTTTTCAAGTAAGATTCACTAAAAGTTAATAAGAGTCTTCAAGTTTTTAAGTTGATAAATTAATAGTCGCGAACTCAACGAACAATCATAAAAAAAATCTTAAAAAAGTATAATAAGTTACAAAGCTTGCTTATTAACGAAGGCGTGAAATTTCATATGAAAAAATGATTGGCGCTATATGTAACACCATTTGCTACAAAAAAATTATATGGTACGTTTTTACTGAAATTTGTGATTAAGCTGTATATTTTAATTTTAAAGCAAATACCATTCAATGAATTTTACCTGAACGTTCAAGACGTTAAGTACTTTTCAAAAAAGGAAATGGAAGATTTGATAGAATTAAAAGATATCATTAGTTAAGTTTAATATGTATTGATTAAGATGACTGCATAAAAGTTTATTTAAGCTAATGCATATTGACAATTTTCAAAAGATTTACAAAAAACTAGTCTCGTCAATTTCAAATTTTTCACTTGACAGTTTTATTTATTTACAAAATTTTTTAATTTAAGACGAACTTTAATAATCACGTTGGATATTGTGAAAGACATATGCTTAAGACATTTTGATTGGTTCATAATAAAAAACAAAATTTTATAATTAAATAACCCCGCCCAAAAACCACTACGATTTTGCGTCCTTTACTAAACAAATGTGAGATAAACTTAACAAATGTCCGGAAAATAATCAATATATACTACCACTTTTACAGTAAACAAATAAAATGAATAATAAATAAAGAAAAAAACGAGAAAAAAACCCTACTTGAAAAAAAAAAATAAAAAAAATTTGCTGAATTTGAAGTCTTTCTAGTTTTTTTTTTTTGATTTTTTCTTTCTATTTCTATATTACATAAACATTGTGAATTCCGATCTGTTGTGACATGTTGTACTCATTGTATTAATTAATAAAGCCACGAGAAATTTTCAAACGAAAGTATGGAAAGAAGTTCAAGTCATGTGAGTAATTTTTGTTTAAAATTATCTTCTTATTGAGAAAATATAAAATAATTCACCTCTTTTATTTGATTATTTTTTTTATAGACAGGAAGCTCAAGCAAGAGACCGATATATGAGCCATCTGATTTCATTGATAACATTTCAATTTTATCTAAAACGGTTTCGCTTGAATCCATAACCAATAATCAAATCCTTTTAAAGTTAGAGGAGGATGGGTTAACTACTCCAGATGAAAAAGCAAAGGAACTTTTAATGAGGTTGACAGATACTGAGGCCTTGAAAATCTACAAAATAAATTTTCATCTCAGATTTTAGTGGATTCATTAGAACATTTTGCTAATCCTTCACTATTTAATTATCATTCAAAAGAAACCATAACAAGGTTGGAATTTCATTTACGAGCTTGGTCAGCAGCTTTGGAACAGATAAGCTTTTCACAAATAGTTCTTTGTAAGGAACTTCGAGATAAAATTTACAATTCCATAGCAAAATTTGCGAAATATCATCGTAAAAATATACAAGTTATTGAAGAAGGATTTGATAGTCTTAGATCAACTTTCAATCCATCCAATCAAAGAAGAGTCTATAATGATAAAAATTTTATTAAAAGACGAAATTATAATATTGACTTTTTATTAATCCACTTGCGGGATACACTACATAGTCTTCGTGATGACGAAACTTGGTTTAAAGAAGTTTTAAGAAGAACCAAAGAATTATTAAAGTTCGCTTTAAACATTACACCTGGACTTTTGTCAATCTTAGCACCTGCGGTTATCTTACCATTTGATAATAGTGCATCGTTTGTTCAATTGCGTCAAGGTTTAAGTTTCAAATATCCGATAGCGTCTTATTATTTGGATTGGAGAATCATGTTGATTATTCAATATAACCTTTTTAATTGGTCAGAAAGTAATGAAAAGATAATTAATAAAAAATTTGGAGAAAGGATTTTAATGGAATATCTTTGGAGTTACTCGGAGAGGGAATGAAATGATAATGTTGATAAAGCCATGTTAAATTCTCAAAATGAATTCGATCAAATATTAAATAAGCTTGTCAGGAGTTTGAAAACTACTGGAGGTTTTATAAGTGACATGGTCGGAAATGAACCACTCGCATTACCAAATATGTTATGGTTTGGAATGTTGGATCTCGCACAAAATCTCATTCAAAAATCTTCTCAACTGGTTATACACGGTCTTTGTTATTATTTGGCAATTGATTCACTAAACAAAGCTCCAAGTAGTTTCATTCAATTTAAAGCAATTGAGGTGTTGTTACATTTGCAAAATATTAATGAAGAATCTTTCTCAATGATAGAACTTGATTTCAATCAATATGCTCAAAACTTATATGAAAATAATTCTACAGATTATTTGGAAAAATTTCAATGTTTATTATCATTCGTTAAAGAAAAATGTCATGAGGATTTCAAGTTATTGAATGATAAGGTTGGAAAGGGAAAGGGAAAGGGAAAGGGAAAAATTTGTATCAAAACATAAACTTTAAAAAAGAACAAACATTAAATTCCTGTAACATTTTAGATATTATCGCGAATGAAATGGCTTGTCCTATCAGTCAAGAACCAGAGGATCAATTATGTATTTTGAAATGTCAACATGTGATTTCATTAAATAATTTAAAAAGGTTGAAACATAGAGAATGTCCAATATGTAGAGAAAGGATTGATTATTGTGATGTGAGACCTTTATCACAAAGCACCATTTTAAAAATTTATATTCTTATCTTTTTGATGCTGGACGGATTCTACACTCGTATGAATCAGATGATCTGGATCAAATAGAGAATGATCATTATGAGAGTGAGTTCGATGATTCTGAAGCTGATATGATAATTAAGAAAAAGTTTAGTAAAGAGTTCAAAATGAGAACGAATAGATTCCAATCAATATTTCAAATTGCCAATTCAAAAAAACATCCAGAATACAAGAACGTTATAAAAGAATTGGATGACAAGAATTATGAGAGAGCTGTAGTAAAGTGTCGAGATTATTTAAAGGGTTTTCCTAAAAGTTATACCATAAGGTGTGTTATAGCTTACGCGTATAGGTGTCTTAAAAAATATGAGCAAGCAAATTCATATTTAGATGAAACAGTTGAGTTAAAGAAAAAAAGTCCAATTACTTATTACATTTATGGAGAAATTCTTTTCAGACAAATGGAATATATCAATGCAATACTAAAATTAAACATTGCGAAAGATTATAAGATTAAAACAAATAATCTGAATATATTGC